TATGCTGTACCACACACACCTGCTGCCCACTTGCATCATCTGCACAGTGACTTCATTAGTCAGGACTCAAATTTGTCACTGTGACTGTGGGACCAAGCCTGGCTGAAGCATGTATGTGCCCCCACAAGTTATCAGTGTACCACAAGAAACAGCTGCACTGGTGGTCAGTGATTACCGGTCACAAGCAAGGAATTACCAGTGTTGAGAACAGATGTGCCCCATGGCTGTACCCTCATTTATGAAGGGAAAGGCACCAAACTGCATGTTCAAGTTTGATAAACACGAGCATCCTTATTTAAAATCTTTTTTTTCTATCATGTGAAATTACACTTGTGCAAGAGGTTTTCAGCTTTGGAAGCATTTATTTAAAGCCATAAGTTACCTTCTAACAAACTGAAATGGCCTTGCTGATATGGCTTCTATCAGATGACTCATTACATACAGTTCCCACAGAAAGAACCTGGGACATGCTGACCTTTTTGTCACCAGAGAAGTGTAAGTTGCTAGAGCTGGAACCAAAGTCTGAGGTGGTAGTTGGCCATTGCTCCCCCATCTGTTATCAAACAGCATTAGAATTAAGTCACGCTTCTTTTGTTCTAGTGTAAAAAAGACATGTGTCTTTCCCATTTTAGTTTCAAGCATTCCTGACACAGTAATTTATCAGGGTGTCAAGCATCAAAACTTGTAAGCAGAAATAAAACATAGAAATGATGGAAAAACAGAGTGGGGGGGAGCTCATAAAAGAAGATACAAGCTCCAAGTACATGCATCATGTAATCCCTGTCACTTTGTATCTTTGTTTAACTGTGAAACCTGTTAGAGCAACTACTAGTGGTTTGTTTCCTCAGATGAAAAGCAATGAATGTAATTTTTAAGTTCCTTGACAAGTTGTCATGCAGACCTATCACAGTCATGAGAAAGGGGCACAGCAGAGTGTAATGGCGAGATGTGTAGCTGACAAAACATCAACTCTCTGAAGGCATTCTCAAGCGATATACAGCAGGATAAATCTTCCATTCAAATGAAGGCAATCCTCACTGAAATCTTATCCTAAACTGGCATGAATCAGAGGGCTACAACGAAATGTCATGTTGTTTTCTAAGCTTGGAAATTAATGTAAGGTTGTCCATTTCCTTTTTTTATTTTCCCTTGGGAGTAAGCAAATACATGTCAGAGTATAGCACACAGCAATCATGCTGTTTCCCACCATTTTTATGCACCTTTCTATCTCTTTCAAATTTTACATGTTTTGTGTCTAATACAGCAACACATTCCTCCTGCTTGCTATAACCCCAGTTCCCTGCTCTCCCAAAGCCTGCAGAGCCTGGGCTAGCCTGGCTCCAGCCTGGAAGAGTTCACAGCTTGGAGTTCGGGTTGTGAACTCATACAGCCAGTAATCCCTTAAGCCTCGCATCCCACAGGAGAATTAAGGATGAGGAGGGTTGCATCTGTGGATGTCGGAGAGAGGAGAAACGATGATGGGGAGCTGAGCAGAAGGAAGGCATGGGATATGTGGGTAGCTGATGGGTGCTGCTGGGCAGCATTAGCTAATTGGGAGGGCTGGCAAAATCCAAAGGCCTAAGCCAGAACCAACGGGAAGGGCGACACTGAGCAGCAGAAGGAAGGGCAGAGCTAGTCAGAGTGCATGGTGGAAGAGGGCAAGGAAGGACTCAGAGGTTATAATCCACAGAAAGGTGAGCAAAGTGGGCAGGCATTGGGCTAAAGGGTAAAGCTGACAGGGATTGGTAGACGGGTTCAATTTTGGGGTGTTGGAAGAATTCACTCCTTGACATGTTCTTGGCAAAGGCTGTAAAACACTTTTCTCCATAGCCCTGGTGCAGGGGAGGCACACTGCTACCCTCCCCCACTTCCATGCACCCTTGCCTCCCTACACACACACACACACACACACACACACACACACACACAGAGAGAACAGTCAGAGGAAGCCTAAACACAATATAAGAGGTTTTCTACCTTGACCCTTTTATTTTTGGGAGGTGGAAAGTTTGGAGTTATGATTTTACATCTCTTCAGGCAATACTATGCCTAGCTTGACTCCAACTAATGAAAAAGGCTATTTATCTAATAGACCTTTAATCACAAGCTCTACTTAAAAATCAATTACATGATACAACCATTATAGTTAAGCTCTAAATCTCATGTATCTTTCTGTTATCTGAGGATTTTCCTCTGAGATAACAGAGACTGATACGCAGCCAGATTTTCAAATGCTCATCACAGAGCATAGGCCAGGTTTTTTCATCCAGCTGTTCCTGTTTTGAATGCTTATACAGCAGGTTTTCAAAGGCCTTATCACCTACGTCAGGCACTGTGGTTTGAAAGACCACTTCCTCATTTACGTGAGCAATTAGGGGTTCAGCTGCCTTGGGAACCTGACCACAGCCCTGAGTGGTGAGGTCATTTAAAAGTCTTGGCCCCCAAGGAGCAGATCTGAAAGGCATTCTGATTAATTTTGGCCCAATTGCCCTAATAAGGCAGAAAGGACCACAAGTAGAAGATGGTGCAGTGCCTGGAGGACAAGTTTTCTTGATGCTCTCTGGGCTTGCTAAGACTCCCCGCTGTTTTTATGCATTTTGCTTCTCTAACGTGACTGTGTTACACATGCAGGCAAAACACATGCCAGCACATCCTTCGTCGTGCCCACAGGAGTGTGCAGCTAAGCAAGCCTGGGCACAGTTGTGATTTGGATGGCAGGGACACAAGGAGCAAAGGAAAAGGCTGCAAACTGGTGCAGTATTTCCCACTGCCTGCCTCCACCTGACATGCAGTTAGCAGAGAAGAAACATCAAGGAAAGGTCAACAGCTGCTCAGAGCAGTTTCAGGTCAGACATATACTTGGGGTTGCCAGCAATGTAATGGGAGGCAGCTGAAGAGGTCATGCTTCCATTTAGCATCTCACAGTGACAAGCTCTGACATTTTAACTAGGTGCTACTCAGAGAACACATTTTCAGTACCTAGTATGATATAAATTATCTCAACTCAGTCACTTCCAGACACCTTAGGCAAGTTCCTTATTTCAGGCTAGGCACTAATAGTACAAAAAGACGCAGATATGACTGAGAAGCTTTCTGATATTGACAGCATCATTCCTAAAAATAAACAGGGAATTTGTTATACACAGATAACGCTAATCAGGAAATAAGTGTTGTCTTAGTCTACTGAAGAAATGTCTCCATTAGTAGTGTTGGTCTTGATTTAGGTTTATTTTTCTCTGAAAGGTAACATCTTTTTCCTGTAACTCCAGTTGCACGTCCTTGTTTATGCAAATTGCAGACATTTCTCATCCAGAAGTACTGTGGTAGCCTACCATAAATGGGACAAAACCTGTAACTTGTATAAATTAATAACCCAAAAGAAAATCTAAATGTCTTTGGCTCCAGCCAGTCAAGATTTTATGTAACTTTATTCTACGTTGTTCTCCTCCTCATTTCCATATTTCTTGAGCTCCTACAGACTAGTCCACCCTTGCAGATATTTATGACTGTAGTCATATGTCTTCACCCTGCAGTTTAAAATCAGCCAAGTCACTGAGGTCAGTAAGATTTGGCCTTTCTGATTTAACCCTGAAAGGAAGCAAGAGAATCAGCTTCACCAGATTGTCTCATTAATAATGTTGGGCACACACAGCCTATTATTTGGAAGGAATATTCTCTTGTATTTAGAATAAGTTTCATCCAAAGCTCAAGGCAGGAACTGTACTTGTGTTTTTGAGGACTACGTGGCTAATTTAACACATCTGTCCTTTTGTCCACGTCTTCTGTGGTTTCCCCAAGACTACGGTACTGTCCCTCTTTGACACATTGCTTAGGGAACGTTATGACAACTATAAGAAGAACTAGGACAAGAGCCTTTCTTGCAGCTGTGCCACTCCATTCAGGGTTGTACGTGTTCTCCTGCTGAACAAGTCCAGGGTTAACTGTGGTCAGAGTAATTGTTCTTTCTATGTGCGGCCAATGTGGCAACCTGTTCTTTGATGTGCACTGCTGGCAAATGCCCTGAGCTGAAATACTGGTAGACTTCAGCGACTCTAAACACCACCTCCGGGGAAACCCTTGGCTAATGCCAAACTTGCATTAGCAGTGCAGACTGCTGCCACAGCTGGAGCCTTGATTTGTTTCTGCCTGCCAAAAGGGAGACTAACTGCCTTCTCCATCAGTGTTTCAAGGATTTCCAACCAGCATAATGTTGGATGTCCAGTGAAAATTCTTGCTTTGCCTTGCAAAGCATTTGTGATACTGATAATGTGATAATAATGAAGGATCTAGTCAGAGGGCAAGAGTCATTTTTGTATTTTAATATTGCAAGAGGGGAACCATATTAAAATACAAAAGCTGGAAATAAAAATTACAAAAGGGTGAAGGAGGAAAGCACAGGAGCCTTTGACAGTGTATGCTACTGTAAAAAAACACTTCTCATTTTACCAATAAATCACCGGTCTTCAGGAACAAAAACCACTTAGGAACATGGACAACAGCCCTAAAGGAAATGCTTAAACCCATCAGGAAATAAGTACACCCCTCGAGAAGGGTAAAACAACAATTTTTTTCGAAAGCTAATGGAGTAAGTCATCTTGATGGGAAAAGCAAACCCGCTCGACCTCGAACCAACCCTCAGGAGAAATCGCCCAGGGGAGGTGTCACGGCCGCCCCTGGGACGGTGACACGGGATGTGCCTCGGCGGAGCCCGGCCGTGGGTGCCGGAGGGAGCCCCTTCCCGGCCGGGAAGGGGGCAGGAGGCGGCCCGGGATGCAACAGGTCGCCGATCCTTGCGCGCTCCCACCAGCACGGGTGCGGGTTCAGCCCGACCCGCTCAGCCGCCTCGGAGAAGCCGCTCCACGAAGGCTCTGCCCGCACCCAGCGCCCACTCGCCCGGCGCTTTCCTCCGCAGTTAAACCCCTCACGCTCCTCCTCTTCCTCCCCCCTCCATCCCGGGCTGCCGGGGTGGTCCTGCAGCCCCGGTCCGGAGCAGAGCCCGCCCTCCATAATCCATGCGCGGGCGGCACCGCCAGCAGGGCTGGCGCGGCGCTCTGAGGCGGAGCGGAGCGGGCTGTGCCCGGAGCGGGCTGTACAGTGCCGGCCGCCTCCGGATCGCTGTGCCCGCTTGGCCGGTGAGTGCTGCGGGAGGGGGAGGGAGGGACGGGAGGAGGGGTCCCGGGGCAGCCCCGCCGGGCCGAAGAGGCAGCAAGCGGGGGTGAAGCTCCTCCGCCTTTTCCCGCTGCAGGCGGCAGAAGGTCCTGGCCGGGAGAGCGCGGCCCCTTCCCCCGCGGGAGGAGAGGGTCGGCGGGCGGGGAACCGCCGTGGGAAGCCGGGTGACGGGAAGGGGGTGGCTGTCGAGGGAGTGGGGCTGCCCTCGGGAAGGGGGTCGGTGGTGATCCTGGAGGGCTTAGCCGGGGCTGGGAGAGCGACCTGTGGGAGCGGGAAGCGGCAGGATGAAGGCGCCCCGAGAGCGCGCGGCGAGGCGGGGGCAGGTCGGTGCTGAGCGGGGCCGGGGAGCGGGATGGCGGGAGGGACGGGTTCGGCCGCGGGGAGGGGGCTGCGGCACGGCGGGGGGATGCGGCCGGTCCGCGGGCAGCCGGGGCGGGTCCGCCCGCCGAGCGGAGCAGGGCGGTGGGCGCGGCGCGGGCAGCGCGGTCCCTCCCCGGGGGGCCGTGTGTGGCTGCGGCGGCTGCGGAGGGGTCGGGGGGGCAGCTCAGAGCTGCCGGGCGCTGAACAGAGAGCAGCGGCGGGAGCTGGGCGGGGAGAGTCCCTCAGGTCTCCGGGGCGAGGGGGAGCCGCTCCGCGGGGAGGAGGAGAACGAGGGCGGCCGCTGAGGGCACCTGCCCGGGGCGGGGGGCGGGCGGAGGCGAGCGGTGGGGCCTGAGCGGTCCCGGGGAGACGAACGGGGACAGGATGCTGTCCTCGAAATATGCTCGCCAGGGGCGGGGGGAGCAGGGAGGCGACCCCTCGGCGGGGCTGTGCGGTGGCTGTGAGCGGGGACAGGGCCCGTCCGCTGCCGCCGGTCCCGCTCGGCACGGCAGCGCTGCGGCGGCTGCCGCCCCCCCGCAGCAGCTCCCCGGGGCGGTGCTGGCCGCGGCTGCTCGCTCAGCACCTGGGCACATCGCGCCGGCACTCCCCGGGTGGCCTCGCGTTTGTCTCGTCACGGTGAGCTATGCAGGGAGCCGGGATTCTCATCCGAGAGCCGGGGAGAAGGGGCAGATGTGGTAGTAAACATGGGGTTGTGTCGTCCGCGCGCACATGCAGAGGGAGCAGCTGAAGAAACTACCACATCGGCCGGTATTCCAGCAGAGGCAGAGCTGCGATACCCGCGCTACTCTGCAGTTTGCAGATCAAGGACTAAGCAGCGTGTTAGAGGAAGAGGTCTCTACAGTTTTAGCAATTGCAAAAGGGGATGAAGGAAAGGCTTGGTCTCAACTGCTAGTGGGAGTATGTGGGTTCTGTCGTATCTTGGTACCTTGGCTTTGGGACACGTACGCAGCACTTACCAATTCACCTTTGCCAAAGATTGCCTATTTATGGGCTGGACTTGCTGTGTTTTAAAATTTTCTGTGTGATTCTGAAAAGTAATCCCACAAGAAATGCTCTATGAATACTGGGGTAAATGTATCACTTAAAATCAAGTTAAATATATTTGTTCAGTTTTTGAAAATGTACTTTAAATATTTAGGCAATCAGCTAAAAATCAGACTTGCTGATGTTCAGAGGAAGGTATCTCCCTTGGAATTTTTACAGGTCTGTTTCTGTTTACAAATGTCTGTGACTTGTAAAACAGCAGGATTTTTTGATGTTGCTTTTTTAGTTTATGTATTTTGGAATTATTGAGAACCTGCTCAAACCAAACTGGATTCTGAATACCCACTTTTTCATCACTTGAGCACTTTTTCATTTGGAACATACAGCAAGCAAGTCAGGTGCGTACTGAGGCTACCTAGTGTGGAAGATGCTATTCGTGTAGTATTTCTCAGTGCTGCCAGGCTCTATTCTGCAGTCAGTCCCTAGTTTATGTTAGGTTTATTTGCTTCATGCTCTTCCTATAGCAACAGGTTGCAAATGTTGTTAGGCTTAGGGAAGATTTAGTTACAGAAAACTATACCTTTTTAACTTAGCAGCATCTAACAAGGCTTGCTGTTTTGGGTCTTTTGAGTGGAAAGGCGGTGGTGTGATTTGGTCATTTGTAATGCATACTTAGGAGTTTTAATCTACCTCTAACTATCTTTTTTATGGCTGTTCTAATTCATTTCACTCTTCTGGTGGTTGCTGGCTCAGATACAGTCTCACTCAAGGGGATTATGGACTTGGATCTTCAAATGTAAAATTAAAAAAATGTAACAAACATACCCAGAACCTTTGTGTGGGCTTCCTATGGAGAGTTGCATCTTCCACCATCCCACCCCATCCTGGTTCACTGCCAGCAGGCTCCACCATTGAGCTTTAGCAGTGTAGCCCCTGGTTGATTGAATTTCAGTTCACAGGGTTAATCATCGATGCATCAGTGCACTGCAGGGTTGTGTTTGCGTGGATTGCAGTGTTAAACAGAAGGAGGCCAGTCCTGTTGAAACAAAGAGCTGGACATCCTGCTGCCTCTGAGTTAGAGTTGATGTATCATGGAAGCAGTTGCTGAAGTAATGCATCTTGCTCTGTCTCCTGTCCCCTTGTTAAAATTACGGTGGAGGTACTGAAACTTTATTGGTTTTGGAAAAGATTACAATATTTTTAATAACAGATAGGATATATCTGAGATATGATAACGCTGCTGCATGTTTGAGTGATGGTCTTCTCAACAGATAGCACTTAAAACCCAAGGAATTGTTTAGTGACTTACATGTGTAGAATATTAACATCAACTACAGAATAAAATACAAAAGCTCAAATCCTTTTAAAGATTGGCACTTACAAACAGAAAATAATTTAAAGATTTTTTTATTATTATATATCTTATTAATAATGAATGCAATGATTTTCATTTTTATATATCTTGTTATGTATCTTCACAGGGTGTGTTTCTGTTTTCTCTTTTTATTGAGACATAGTAATGAAATGAGTAGCTTATTTGATAATTAATGTAAGCATTTCAAAGTTTCACACAGCTTCTTTACATTCACTATTTATTTGAACTTTGGGAGAGTTGTATTGGCAGTGGCTGTAGCTCACTGACTGCAGTGATGCCACACTGTGTCTGAGGAAATGAGATGGCCACATGCTGCAATGAAGATTAGCATAAACTGCTATTCAGTTCTCTTTATATGTCTCACCACTGTGTATGCCATTCTTGCAGTTCTCACAATTACAACTTTCACAGATAGTTTTTTTCTCTGTTATTCTGTTTATCCAGCATATTTAACTAATGGTATGCTCCCAGCTAAGTTTCTTTTAGATACCAAGAAAAGGATAACTGCTGGGAACTTTTTACATCTGAATTATATTTAAGTAGGTTGAATACATATTGGATACTCAGAGGCATCCTGAGTTATAGGTTTAATGGTGTTTCTACAAGTTCCTGATCATTATTAATATAACCTTGAAAATATATTAGTGTTTTATGTAGTATAGAGGAGAATTGGTGTCAGCCTAGAGGAGTTGCCCAGTAAGATTATATATACCATATTTACGGTGATACATTTGCCAGCAAAGGGAGAAGAACAGCGTATGGTCAGAATTCTGCAGATTCTTTGATTTGCAGGAAACTCAAGTGAACTTCATAAAAACTTGACAGAAAATTATGAAGAATTGGAGACTTTAGTAGTGTCTGACCTGACTTAGAGAAATTATTCAAACCTCTTTTTAAGAAAACCAAGTTGAGTGGTAGTCTATCAAACTTGCACAATCTTCACTGTTCTGTCATTAAGGCAAAATATTTTTTTTCCACTTACGTCTGGTCTTTTGATATTTTGTCCTGTAGAGTTTCTATAGATTTTATAATAAACTGTAGCCTAAGCAGTTCTAACTTTCTGTCCTTTCTGTGTTCATCCCTAGAGCAAGAGGTGCATAAAATAAAATTCCACTAAAATGTCTTTTAGGCTGAAAAAACCTTGTCTGAAGGAAAAAATTAAGGAAAAAAAATTAAGGAGAAAAAATTAAATTAAATTTCATTAAAATATTAATTTTATTAAATATTAAATTAATATTTTGGATCCAGACTTCTTTTTCTTTCATTAATCTTTAGCAAAACATTCTTTTCCAGATAGGAAAGTACTCATGTTGTAATGTGTTCTAAATTACTGTGTTCCTGTGTTGAACATCATATTTCGGAGTGGTTGCTAACATCATCTTTTTGAATGAGGCTTGGATACCTGTGCTATTTGTAGCATTATTACTGTTCATTCTTCTTGATTTTCACAATCCATGAGGGAGAAGGATAGGCTGGAGTTTTCCCTCTTAACTCAGTTGGACTGTGGGGAAACAAAACTGTCTCTAGTTCTTTGATCTGATCTTGTATTCCTTTGTTCCATATTTTTCTTGATCTATCCTCTGAGTGCACACAGACTGCTAATACTAAAGAAGCCTGCAGTGTGATTTCTTGCAAGTCAATACTGGTTTTCAGAAAGGTAGCTTGTGTTTTACTGGAGGCTGTAAAGCATGAGAGAGACTTAGGTCTCACCTTACTGCATGTTTTAAGTCTTCTGTCTTCAGCATCTCTTTGACCTGGAAATACCTTGGAAGTAAAGGATTGGGCCGACTGAAGCTGTGAGGTTATTTTGCTCTCATTCTTGCAGGGGAATGGTCTGAACACCGAGGCCCACATAGTAGCAGAGTCTTACCTAGCTCTGCAAGATGCGGTCACTGGTTTTGTTGGAAACCCAGGGTTGTTTTTCTTTACGTTTCTAAGTAGTGGTTGATTAAGCTGCTGTGATTTTGCAGATTCAAAATGTTCTTGAACCTGTATATTCACCCAAAGTTAATGACACTCAGCATTGGCAATCTGTGAATAAAAATCGTTGAGTTGACTTCCCCAGTTCCTTGGGAGAGCCTTGAGATAGCTGGAACTAATAGAAAGTAATTGTTGACACTCATTGTCATCTGTCAGGAGGGTGAGGTTTTGTTGGTATTTTTGGTAACTTTTCAGCGATGAATATTTTTTTTCCTTAGTCTTGAAGGACAGTTAGGAGGATCTAGCAGTGAAGTTTTACTCAAAGGTTTAGATTAAAGAAAAGACAGGATATGACTTGTAATAATTGTCATCAACTACAGAACTATCAGGTGGCTGATTAAAATGCATTGTGTAACTGTTATGACACGACATATTGTACTTAGTCAGAAGCACAATTCATACACTGTTGCTTTAGTTTTGTTTCCCTTGGAGCTGTACCAATCCTCTGCTTTGTTTGTTTTTGAAAACTCACTGACCTGGAACTGTGCATAATTGTTTTTTCCACCTCTTTCAAGTACAGTGTATGTAGTATACCATATTATTCAGACAGACTTCAACGGTTGTTTTTCTTTTCCATCCTATCTGTCTCGCTTCTCCAACTTTTGATATGTTCAGTTTCCACAGAAGGTTGTGGGTTATCTTGCACTTTCCTATTTGCTTGCACACATTTAATGAGCTCTTTATTTTATTTTTTTTTGCCAGAGATGGTGCGCTGAGTCATTTCCACAAGAGGCTGCTGTACCACTCTGAAGTTGGAATACATTAAAGAATTGAAGGTGTGAGAGTGCACCACTGTTCTCCTGGCTAAAAAGCTGCCCCCCAACTGAATGTATTGAAGATTTCTAGACTTGGTTGGACAAATATCTCTACCTCCAGTTTTATGAATACTGCTAGCTATGGCTGTGGAACTCTGTTTGCTCCTGCTGCTGTTTTGTGGAAATACTATTTCAGAGGTGCAGCCTATATACAAACCACCTCCTGGGACTTTGGATTTTGGATTTGTACCATCCAAGACGTATGATACAGGTGCATACCATGAACCTGGGTCAATAGGAATTTTGTTTAAAATAGTACATGCATTCCTGTACTTAGTGCAGCCAAATTCTTTTCCTCAAGGTAAGCAGATAAACTACTCTTTTTTAAATACAGACTTGTTATTGATGCTATCACCTTGTTGTAGATACCAAGGCCATAGTCAGGAAATAAATTATATGAAGGGCTTTGTAAGTAGCACGTGTTATGGCCTGGAAATGTGTCTAGTTCTCTATAAAAGAACATTTTTCTGCTAAGCGTGGTGGAGAGGAGGTTGTTAATGACAATGAAATGTTGGTGAAGTTTCACAGAACTTTGCTTACCTATCTGAAAGCTGTCACTGATGCATTTGAGGCTTTTTTGCATAACTGAAACATCATGAGATAGGAGTAGGGGATAAACTGCTTTGTATTTAATGTTAAATCCGTAAGAGACAACTCTCTGAGGTTTACATATTACAGTAAACAGGTGGTTATAATATTAAAAGATTTAGCCTAGGAAATGAAAAATTTGAAATAAATTTCATTTGTTTTCTAATCTGTGCATCCATGGTCAAGTTTTGTATAAGGGCGATTCTGTTATGCAGCCTTGTATAACTTCTTGTGCCTTTGAAAGCTATCAAGACTTGAAACTGCATTTGTTTTATTGAAATTTTGTTTTTCCATTCCTTTCCTACTAAATTGTCCCTTCTAAAGGAAAAGTTAAGATATCAGAGAAGTGTGTGCTTATTGACATTGCGTTGGTTAAAAGGCACTTTTGGAAACCCTGTGCGTTTGTGGATGTGGTAGTTGTATCAACTTTTCAACAAGCTTTGTGTTTCATTTAGCTTTTAAAGTGCTAATGTGTTTGTATAATATTGGCATTTAAAATTATATTGAGGTGAACCTTTCGTAAAGTCTAAGAACGGCTTTGGTTTGTAACTCCTTTTGGTGGTTTAGCTGTGACTGTATAAAAGGGGTTTATAATTATTTCGTAGTACGGCTTTCAATTTATACATTAAAACTTTTAGTAATTTAAAGCCTAAAATAAATTCTTTGGTCAAACTGGTCACATATGTTTATGATATCTATGAACAGCTATATGCTTGTATTTTTGATGTTTCTTCGTGCAGCTCTGACACTGCTGTAGCAGAATGAGCTCCAGTGAAATTGAATGAATGAATTCTGTTTAGACAAGTGCTCAGAGTCCCAGGGGTTAACAGCACAGTAGTATCCTGGCCTGTTACCTGCACAGAGTCTGTCTTTTGAGCAGGTCTTGCACGGGATGTAATGAGGGCAGTTGCATGAGGGTGACAGTAATGTCACCTTTTGGAGAAACTGTTTCCAGATACCTCTGCTTCTTTTCCTTCATTCTTGCTGTTAAATATGCAGGTGAACTATTTACCTCTCTGCGCCATCTGCATTCAAATCTTTGAAACAGGCCTTCATTCTGCCTAAAGCCCTGCTTGAATTGAATCAAGTGGAAACTTGATTTCAGTGAGATGTTTACTCTGAGTTTATATTATCAGCAATGTGGTCTGTAATCTTGTATGTCAGAATTAATATCATGTGTCCTAAGCATGTGAATAATTAGTGAATATAGAATTTATGATCAAGATTATTGTCCTGTGGGACTGCTTGTAGTGAGTTCTGCATCACGTTGGTGTGGTGAACTCTAGCATTAAAGAGAGACATAGAGAAGTAGATCATTTGTTCTTAGCTTGTAAGTTATGAATGTCTCATACCTTTCTTTCCCTCCTTGAAGATACTCTTTGCCAAATCAGTTATTTTCATAAGTTTGGCTTTCATTATTTGCATTAGGTGAAGTCCTGTTCCAGTGCCCCCACATACTTCACTGCAAAACACAGATTTGACAGATCATGTCAGTTTGAGTCTTACCATTTAATTGGCTAATCCCCATAATCTCTTTTGCCATATGCTGTTCTATTTTCACGTTTGGTGTATTAATGGTGTAGTTACATATTTGAAATGCCTTTTTTTTTTTTTTTTTTTTTTAACTCCAACTTGAAATAGAGTTAATTCTGATTCAGGAATGAAAATAAACATAATCAAAAATGGGCACAGAAAGCAAGTCTTTTAGTATTCCTAACTCGAAACTTCATCATTTTGCTTGGACTGGTGGTTCAGAATAGCTCGCTCCAGGTTCCCACCCCAGTGTATTGCATATAACCATAAGGTAGAGAAGTAGGATTTGTGTGCGGGACTTGGCATCAATCTTTTTAGACCTTTGATCTTAGTAGTCTTATCTTTCCTAATACTTGGAAGTACTTGATGTTCAGTTTTCCAGTCTACTATTAGTACTCTTAGCTGGGAGAAAAAGAAGTGATAGGATTGTTTTAACTGCATGTAGACGTTCCTGCCTTTGCAAACCATCTTGGTGCTTGGAATAGTGCTCCAATGGAGCTGAATATGTTACGGTGTTACATTCATACTCCGTCATTCCCAAGTGTGCCTTCTAGGAAGAAAGCTGTTACTACATCATGTCCTGCCGTAAATGGGAGTGCGTTTACTGAAGTGTAAATAAACTGTTATGCGTGGAAGCAGTTTCCACTTTGAGTTAATGATACACTGGTGTGGAAAAGACTGTTTGATCATTGGCTTGCTTCCTGAGGCTCAGTAAATCACTTTAATCTTGGTGTGCCTTTGTATCTCCATTTATGAAATGGAAATGGTGGTGCTACTACTCCTTTTGTTGAGGACTGTGTAGGATAGAGCATCATTATTCTTTCTTGTTACTAGCACCACCTGGAATAAATAGACTCACAGTATACTGTGAGTTGGAAGGGACCTGCAAGGATCATCATGTTCAGCTCTTAAGTGAGTGGCTCATGTGGGGATCAAACCCACGACCTTGGTGTTATTAGCACCATGCTCTAAACAACTGAGCTAATCAGGTGATAATAGGAGAATTGCAAGTTGCTTCTATCACTCAGGTAAGAAAGTGGACATCTGACAAAACAAATTGACAATTTTTTTTTCACTAAGAAACTGCCATAACCTGCAGCATTAATTTATTAATGAAGTTGTCAGTTCATGGTTGTGAGATGGCACATGTCACCTGTTGTGTTGGAAACCTTCAGATGTAAACTTGGTGCAGACAGGGCATGGTCAGTATGATCCTGTGGCTGCTGTGAAGTACCTTAGTTTTGTCTTTGTTCCCATGGAAACAGTTGTTAGTTGCAGTAAGGCAATGTTAATGTGAGATTCCACTTCCCAGCAGGATGTGCACAACACATTTTTGTCTTCACAGCTTGAGTTTTATAACAAAAATGTGAAGCATTTACAAAGGAAACAAGCTGGGAATAAAGCTCCTGCTCCTATTTTTAGATGAAATAAGACCAAAAGCTATAGGCTTGTTTACCTTACTTTGCTGTACGTGAATGTATTGCAGGCCAACTCTGCCAGTGAAGTTACGGTTGCTTTGCTCCAGCATCTGTATTTTATTCAGGATCATGCTGTTTCTGCTGAAGCAGGAGTAAAACTTTAACATAAAATGAACTGTTGAATGCAGGTACTTCCTGGACAAAAGATAGTATGAAGAGTTAAATATACTATTTTCCTGTTGAGAACATGAACAAGCTGGATTTTAGACCTGGATTACACCTTTTAGTTCTTGCTGGTTGTGGAGTCTTTGTTGTTGAACAGTTTGAGAATAGGAGTGAGGATGAGAACTTGGCTATTTTAGTGGAAAGTCCTGTCTCTTAACTTTTTTTGGTCTTTCTTTCTCCTCATCTGGTCAGCCTCAAAGCTGCTGCAGATTGTGAAGTTCAGCAAGTTAGTCTTGTGTTATCTCTGTAATGATTTACGGTGTTAAGCTCTGCCAGGGGAGGTTTAGGTTGGAAATTAGGAAGAGATTTTTTACAGAGAGAGTAATCAGACATTGGAATGGTCTGCCCAGGGAGGTGGTGGATTCTCCGTCTCTGGAGTTTTTCAAGGTGAGACTGGATGTGGCACAAAGTGCCATGGTCTAGTAACTACGGCAGTGCTGGATCAAGGGTTGGGCTTGATAATCTCGGAGGTCTTTTCCAACCTGATAGATTCTATGATTCTGTGAATATCTCACATGAGTCTATTCAGCAATTAAAGCGTTTTAATGTATTTTCAAGAAGAAACATGTGACTTGATGTGAAAATAAATTCTATCTGCAGCTAGTGTAGCTGTAATAGAAAATGCATAATCAAAACACTGTTGTTGTGGATGGGTTTGATGAGCTCTTAGGATAGTGATTTTTAAAATCTTTTGGCTGTGAGGTCCTAAAGCAAGTAATCAGAACACTTTATGACCCCCTCACTTAAACTAAGTAAGAATTATGTTTTTGTGTGGGTAAAACTAGCTTCTTTGCCTTTTGTAACTATTTAATTCTTGGTTGCCTGTTTCTACTTTAGTTTTGCTTCCTGTTAGTAATAAATTTTCAACAACTCCCTAAAAAAAGAAAAAAAGAATGCCTGTGTCTGGATGTTGGAGCTCAGCTCAGTTATGCGTAGCTGGTAGTGGCCTTTTGTTTTTAAACTTGAGGCTTTCCCAGGAGCTTTGGGCATGTACACACGAGTGTATAGTGGAAGGACTGTGCTCTGGCTCTGCAGGTGCTGCTGTCCAGCACCATAAGATTTTGCTCAGGTACCCACAGCCATTATGATGCTGTATAAAAACTTAAGTTAGAATATCCTTTTTTTCGGTTGTGTGAAGTCTCAGTTTTAGTTTGGGTGTGAAACTGCATTGATGTGATTGATCAGCTGCTTTTTTGAGCTTGTGTTTGATAGCTACACCCCTGTTCATGTGGGCTGGTTTTCTTAAAGCTTGCATCCTGGAGCTGGATTGGGAGCATAGATGGCACTGCTGGTGCAAGAGCTGAGAAGAGGGGAAGAGCAAGATCTGCCCTTTAGTGAGTTAGCTGTTAGACTGGCAAAGTTCTGCTGTGAAATGACAGTTTCAGTAAGCTGTAGAGTTGGTGCCATCGCCGCATCCCTGTAACTATTTTTGTTCCATCGCTGTGACAAGAGCTGTGATGTGAATTTAGAATAGTAACTGAACTGTGTATATAAAAAATGCAGGTACCAGTGACAGGTGTTACATACAGCAGTGGTA